ATGGAGGGTGCATAGCCCCGACTTCCCGCCGTCAACGGGATGGGCAGCTGCCACAAGTCACTTTCCCCCCCTCGCCTTTGCACACGCACGCACGGACACCCACACAGCCACACGCGCGCGCACACACATGCCGACACACCGGCTCCGCCGGGCGGGAGAGCAGCTTCCCTCGTTTGCTCGCCGGCGATACTCACGCTTCCCATTGAAGAGGTCAACTTTCTCCCTCCTCAGCGGCAGAGGCTTCTCCTCCGGCGGAGCCTTTTCCCTCCGCCGCCGCCGCCACCACCTCTTCCTCCGCTTTCTCTTCCTCCTCCTCCTCCTCGTCCTCCTTCGCCTCTCCTCAACGCTTGCCTTCTCCTCTCCTCCTTCCTCACACCATGTCCCCGCGCCCCGGGCTGAGGCCACTGGGAGCAGAAGCAGCCGCCTTGGCACCGCGACAGGACCCGCCGAGCCGCCCCTTTAAGCCGCCTCTTCTTCTTCTTGCAGCGCGCTCTGGACATGGTAGGACTGGCGACCAGGGCGCAGGGAAGCCGTCGTCTTCCCCGGCGGCGGCGGCGAGTGCTGCTGCTGCTGCTGCTCCGCCGGTCCTCCTCGCCGGCTCTTCCGCGGGAGCCCCCACCGTCGATCCGCCTCCGGCTGGCGCCGATCCTCCGCGTCCTGAAGCGGGGGCGCCCACTGATGCATTCCACTTCAGCCTCCCCACCAGCACTTCCAATAATGCGGGGCGGGGGGGGGAGAGAAAAAAAGCACAACCAACGCTCTATTCCATGTGATGGGTGTGTATGTGTGGTTTTATTTTTTTTCCCCTTTTTTTAAAAAAAGCCCCACGGCGTCGCTCCTTCTTCACCGATCCCGGCTTCCGAAGAGACGCAGCGCCAGCCTTTTTAGCATCTCTTTCCCTGGAGAGCGTGGAAAAAGAAGCGGAGAAGGAGATCAGGACGGGAGGGGGCGGATGGATAGATAGACACACGCGCGCACACGCAGACGCACACACACTACGCGCGCACACGCAGACGCGCTCACACGCACACACGCGCGCAGCTTGCCCCAGCGACAACTGTGATCAACTTGTCTTCGGCTTCGCCCGGGTTCGGATGGCAAAGACAGGCGGCAGGGAGAGGGGAGGGGGAGCAGCCCCGAGCCGGAGCGTTTCCACGGGAAAGGGTGAGTGCATGTGAGAATGAGAGAGGGAGGGGGAGAGAAGCAGACGAAGCCACTTCCAGTACTACTCGGTTTGGAGCGGCTGTTGTAGCCAAAGCGACCCCCCGACACAGTGGAACGGCTGGATTTGCAGGAGGAGGGGAGAAGCAGAAGGCGCCGCAGTACGGCACCGCGGCCAGTAGATGGCGGTGTGAGGCACCGAATTGGCATTCCTCGGGAATGCTCGCTTCCCTCGAAGCGGCCAAAAGCGTCGGGCGCTTCTCTCCCCCCCCACCTCATCTCTTTTACCTGTTATGATGATGCCGTTTATGCCTTGGCATGAGGAATCAGCCTCGCTGCTTGTGCTTTAGGGAGGCAGAAATACTGCTTCAGACATGGGTGGCCGGCCCTTTGCTGGCAGGCGGCTGGAAGGCATAGCGAGAAGGGCCTATTACTTAAATAAAATAAAATCACAGGCTTTCCTGATCGAGCGACCCCCCACCCCTTTCTTTCATTTCCAGCTGGCTGGCCGGGCTGCAGGAGGCAAAATGCTGACTAGGTAGGAGCAAATGTGGAAAATGAGGGCATAGAAGTAATCCTGAGACTCTGGTGGAAGGTGACCTCTTGAAACACCTTTCTCACTAGTGGATTTGGAAAGGAGGCTTTTTCAAATTCCAGATTTACTTCTTTTTTTTAAAGAGTCATTTCTAAAGCATATGCAACATCTGGTTTCAGACTCTGAGACAAGCAGCCCAATCAGCTTGCACCTTTAGAAAGCACTTCCCAGTAAATGGTGTAGACATGCATGGAAAAGTCAGTGCATCAATGCAGAAAATCTACCGGTGTCTAGTAGTGAGGAGGGAGCTACATGTATAGAAAGTATTCAGTCTTCTGCAGTGCTAGAATACCTGGCAACAGAGAGGCTTGTTCTTGAGATGAATCTGCTGCCTTGTGGGTTGTCCTTCATTTTGGATATCTGAAATCACTCATAGAATTGATACACAGAATGTAAGTAGGTCTGGCTGACTTACACAGAGAAACAGAAACAAGTGGATGACAAGGGCAAATCGATTCAGCCCCAAAAACTTTTGGCAGAGAGGATTGAGTGCCTGCTACTTTGCCAGACTCCCAGAAGGAGATAGATGCCACACTTTGTTCCACACATCCACAGAAAGGCATACTGCTCTTTTGAGACCTGCCTGTCCACATTCCAAGATGTCTGATGAGCAGGAGGAGGCATATGCCATGGTGTTCCATGGCATGACTAAGGCTTTAAGGCACTGGTTCCCAACCTTGGGTCCATATATGTTCTTGGACTACAGCTCCTAGAAATCCTGGACAGCACAGCTGGTGATGAAGGCTTCTGGGAGGTTTAGTCCAAGAACATCTGTGGACCCAGGGTTGAGAACCACTGCCCTAAAGTCTTAGTCATGCCATGGAACACCATGCCATAAAGTTGGGAACCATGGCTTTAGAGCATAAAAGATGAAACCTAGCCACATCCCTGGGACATTTCTACTCTATAAATAAGAATAAGCAAACAGACATTTTAGATCACAGCTCTCACAGCCACTTACCATTGGCTATGCTGGCTGGGGTTTATAGGAGCTGTAAGTGAAACATCTGTAGCACACCAGGTTACATAAACATCCTCTAAAGCAGAGAGCATCAGCCAGAACCAGCCCTGCTATTAGACAAAATGAGATTGCCTCATTTAACAAATGCTGGGGAGTGGTGGTGTCATTTGCAACCTGCTTCTCCTAAGCCCCTCAAGTACCCCTCTCTAAAGGGCGACATAGTCGTGTGTCATATGACTCATTCAGGTCTTGATACATGAGTCTGTTGCCTCAAGTGCAGTGAAAACTGTTAGCCCCTCTGTAATGCCAAAGTAAGATTTAACCACCACTCGGGAATGGGGTTCAGTCTCTGCCACCTTGACCTTTCTGCTTAATATGCTGAATGGCTGCAGTGAGTGATGATAGAATACCATCCACTTCAATTTGGTCTCAGATACTTACAAATCACAACTATTTTTTCTTCAAGCTTATTTGTATTTTGCCCATATTCCACAGTATGTCCGAATTATTGCTGCACAAGACTTCGGCAATGATCTTGTGCTGGCAGAGAAAATCAGCATTCTAGAAGGCAATTTTAAAAATGGGGGCATCCCAAACAAAAAAAAATATATAACTATGAAACTGGGCTTTGGATCAGCACCAAATTTGGCACAGATGTAACAGGCAGTCTGCTCATGAATTTGAAGTTTTATTACCTCATTTAGAAATAGGTAACCTTAAAGCATCCCGAGATTTAAAATAGATCATATAAATTGAAAAGACCAATCTTGTTTATCTTGAAAGAGAATGGTTGGCCCACATACTTTTTAAAAAAAAAATTGAAAAAATCAAGCTGCAAGGGATATGTTGATCATCAAAAAAGGTCTTTCAAAAGTATACGATTTCTTTGCGTTTGGGTAAGAAGTGTTTAAAAATAAGTCAGGTTCTGGGATTTTCACTTGCTTGGTATCTGTTTGTGACTGGTAATGAGCACCAGAGGGTATCCTGTAGACCACTGGTGTCGAACAGTGGCCCTCCAGATGTTCTTGGACTTCAACTCCCAGAAGCCTTCACCACCACCTCTGCTGGCCAGGATTTCTGGGAGTTGAAGGCCAAGAATATCTGGAGGGCCACAGTTCGACACCACTGCTGTAGACCATCTTGACTGCTGACATGAGTTTTGTCAATATTCAGGCAGCCCTTTGCTATGCAAAACTTGGCATCCTTTTTCCTGCTGGCAACACAGGCATGATATTGTTCAGCAATATCAGGCCATTTACTGACATTTTGTATCGTAGATACGGAAGCACAATATCCCACATTCATAAACTAGATATTTCTTTTTGAAAAACTGAACAGTCTAAAAACATGAACATGGGAAAAAACCGATGGCTCAGATATCAGATGGAGGCAGGAGGTAAACTCAGTGCATCAACTAGTGCTTGACCTCCAGCGCACAGACAAAATTCCCATCAACTTCTTTTTGCCTTTCCCTGCACCTGACTGGGAACCATGCAATTTAGGTATCTCTTTGGTCCTGTTCCTGTGACCTGCCTCACTCAAATCCAGCATAATGGTATACATTTCACACACTCAGGCACTCACTCAGTTGATTGAACTGAGCTTTGCTTTTCAAAAGAAAAAAAAGGAAAGAAAGAAAAACCATTCACTTCTCTTTATCTCCTGAAAATAGAAGCAATTTGTATCTCCTTCTTATTCTGAACATGTTGCCCTAGCAAAATACACACTGATCACATGAAGAGAGGAATTTCCCTCCAGGGATTCTGAGTTTGGGGTTTTCAAGAAAGCTTTGCCTTATCTTTGGCACTTCAGATGTTAATCTCCTTCTGCTCTGGGCTTCCTGGTTCTGTTAGACTTATTAGTTTTGTTTTCCAAGGTGAATGTTTTTTTTAAAAAAATCCTCAGCTTTTTAAGCCCCTGAATCAACATTCTTTGCTTTGCAGACACCTGTTTCAGTTTGAGCACTGGTTCCTTCACTTCTTCTTCAGAGAACTTCCGAAATGGACAAAGTCTCCTGCTTTGCTTTGGAATCCAAATAAATTCTGAAGCTAAAACACATCCATCCATTGGGTGCTAGAATGCAGTTGTACTGTGTCCTGGTAGTGTTATCCTAAGTTCCTCTATAATGGAAAGGGCAAAGGGGAAACTAGCCTAACCAGTCTGCTTCCTGTCTACTCCTTTCCTGCTTGTTAACTATCCTTGGGCACTCTTTTGCCAAGCAATAATGCAAAGCAAAGGTGGGCTGTTCATGCATAACTTGAATCACTAGATACTAGCCGCAGAAGGGCTGATGCCCCATGCTGTAGCCTGGTGTGTTTTGCTCTCATGTGTCCTATTCGTATGACAGGAAGTTCTGCACTGTGATGCCTATGGGGAGCAGAAAGATAATGCCCTTGGCATTTTGCAATAGCAAAACCTCATAATTCACAGAAATTATGCAGTCAAACCTGTACTTCATCCAGTTCATGTTCATGTACTTCCCCATATGTTTCATAGGGATTTCAAGCTTCATTAGTTAGGAGGGATTTCCTATCTTCACCTCCTCCCACATTCACCTGTTAACTTCATTCAACTATAATAATCACAAGCCACAAAACAGTGGAATTACTGCATTTGTACTGTACACAGCTTGTTCCCATTTGTACATAATTGTTTTAAGCAGCATTTGTTGCACAATGTTGAATTTGTCTGTTGCATTCTCCACTTAAGTGATAGTTTCATGTGTTATTTATCCATCCCACTTTCATCTTGGAGCTGACCCGAGTTACATTTATCTCTTGAGAGGTTTCTTTGCTGATGAAAAGTGCATGTTCCACATTCCATGCTCTCACTCGTAAAAACAGCCCTTGTAATGTTCCACACAAAAGAACAGATATTTCCTCTACCTAATAGACCAAGGCTAAGTTCATCCATACTGTGATATTCCTGAGGAGTAGGGACGTGGAAGCTGCTTAGCGTCATAGTGCACCAATGCAAAAGATGGAAAGTGAAGAAAAAATAATGACTGAAATGTGATGTTACTTTGCAAATACCAGGAACCACTAGAAATACAATCAAGTGGTTTCTAGATGAAATCGAGCCTGAAATTCCATTAGAAGCTAAAATGACTAACCTGAGACCAGAAACAGATGTGAAATATAGCCTGTAATTAGAGCTGAAAACATGTTAATATTGCATAGAGGTGATTGAGACAGTCTTTCTGTGTTTGTGAAATCAGACTTCACAGGCATTGCTGGCATCAATTTTGATGATCAGTCAGGAAACAAGTATTTTTACGTCTGTTTCTGGCCTGAGGCT